CGTGAAGCCGGTCACAGCCCCCCTGCGCGCGTGTCTCCGGGCGCGAGCACAGGGGCCGCAGGGGGGGGGGGGGGATCTTGGGCTTTCTCTCGCCATACTAGCCTCCGTTTGAATCCGCGGCCTGGCCCCCCCTGTGGCGCTGGGGAAAATAACCACGATAGACGGGGGACACACAAAAACGCTCGCACCGCACATGGGGCTCTCCTCACACTCTCGGTACTCCCTCCTCACCCAGTGTCTGCCTTTTTTGGGCCTCTCCTGTAAGCAACGCCTCTCACGCCGGAGCTCCTGACGCCGACACCCCCCCCCACACACACACAGACACAGATACGCATCCACAGGGAGACAGAGAACGAGAGAGAGAGAGAGAGAGAGAAAAAGAGATCACCCACCTCACAAGATCAGCATCCTCCTCTCTCACGTCGCCTTAGCTCCTTTCGAGTCCCCCTCTTCCTTTCCCCTGGCCTCGGCTACTCTTCCCGCTGCTTTCGTTCCGACTTTTGTCACCTGCCCCCAGCATGAGCGCCGATCCTCTTGATCCGACGCTTGACCGGAACCCCTTCGGGGCCCACCGGATCCAGGCAGTTCCTCTGGCACGAAGCCAGGCAGACGGCAGCTTGCCGGATCTGCCGGCGGTTTCCTTTGTCGACCCGGCCGCTGTCGGGGACTCCCGGCTGCATACGACCGCCGAGTCGAGCCCCGCCTCGGCCTTCGGGGTCGGGGGCCTGTCGCCGATTTCCCTGAAGCCCGAGCACCCCCCCAGCGGCCTGAAGATGGAGGATGACATGGACGCCTTGGCGGATGCCCGTGCTGGCCACTACGAAGACCATGATGCCATCCTCCGCGATAGCGATGATGAGGATGGCGAGGGCGACGAGTCGCCGGACACCTCGCCCGCCACGCCCGGGCCACTGGGCGCCTGCTGGGCCGGGTTCACCGGGTCCCTGTCGTCCGCTTGGAATACCGTCTTCCAAGCCCTGCCTCCCTGGGGGCAACGCTTTGTCACCGGGGCCCTGAAGATCGCCGACCAGCAGTCCTTCGCCATTATGATGGTGGTGGTGGCCCTGGCCGCATATGTGGCCCCCTCCATCGGCAAGAAGGGCGGCCCTCTGCTGCCGGAGTACACCGTATCCTACGGGTCCATGATGATCATCTTCTTTCTCACCGGATTAGATCTCAACTCCGGCGCCCTGGTCCGGTCGCTGTCGAACATCAAACTCCAGGCGTCCATGATGGGTCTGACCTTCGTGGTTCTCCCCCTGGTGGGGTGGGTGTGCGTCGTGCCTTTCCTTCTCTTCCTCCCTCTCTCTCTCTCTCTCTCTCTATCTCTCCCTCTTGCTCTCTCCCTTCACTTTCTTCGCCCTCCGGTGCATGCCCCTCCATATGTGCCCACATGCAAGACCGTGTCCAGCCCCCCCCCCCC